GACCAAGGGGAACCTGCATATAAAATTTGAGAAAGATCCCTCTGGTACTTCTTGAGAAATAGCGAAAACAAACTTTCAATATCAAAATCCAAGATGGCTGCCTGTCGGCCATGTTGTTTATCCGATCAGTCTCAAAAATTGACCAAGGGGAACCTGCATATAAAATTTGAGAAAGATCCCTCTGGTACTTCTAGAGAAATACCGATAACAAGAATCGTTTACAGACAGATGACGGACGGATGCCAGACCACGCATGCAGGGTGATTGGAATAGCCCACCATCAGGTGATGGTGGGCTAAAAATGCCCTACACAGCTAAGGCCCAAGGGGAACCTACATATAAAATTTGAGAAATAGCGATAACAAACTTTCACTATCAAAATCCAAGATGGCTGCCTGTCGGCCATGTTGTTTATCCGATCAGTCTCAAAAATTGACCAAGGGGAACCTGCATATAAAATTTGAGAAAGATCCCTCCGGTACTTCTTGAGAAATACCGATAACAAGAATTGTTTACGGACGGGCGCAGACGACGGACGACGGAAGACGGACAGACGACGGACCACGGACGCAGGGTGATTTCAATAGCCCTCCATCAGATGATGGTGGGCTAAAAATATAACGGTATTCAAAGTGACAAAAATAAACAAGAGACACAGAGGGCCTGTATCGCTCTAGAAGATACCTAAGCAATCATGGAAAACTATTTTCCAAATGAGATCAAGAATATGCCAGACCCCAAGGCCATTCCTTGTAGCATAGCTATATTAGATTTTTCAAGCCCAGCAATTGTATGTATGGTTATGGGGTGGGGATCTCAACCATTTCCAAGTAATACATTTTATTGGCCCCACCCCTTAGCCCGGGGGGTCAGCCCCACCATTTGTACAATTTTGAATCCCTGCCTCCCATGAATACTTCCGACCAAATATGATCAATATCCATGGTATGGTTCTGCAGAAGAAGTCGTTTATAGCAATAAAACCTAATTGCCCCCTTTTGTCCCCGCCCCTCAGCTCCCTGGGGGGTCAGCCCAACGGTTTGTACAATTTTGAATCTCCACCACCTAGAGATGCTTCCAGTCAAATAAGGTTGATATCAATTACTTAGTTCCAGAGAAGAAGTCGTTTGTAGCAATATAGCCAAATGGCCCCCTTTTGGCCCGCCTCTAAGCCCCCTGGGGGGTCAGCCCCACCATTTGTACAATTTTTAATCACCACCACCTAGGGATGCTTCCAGTCAAATTTAGTTTAATTCCAACCAGTGGTAAAGAAGAAGAACTCGTTTATAGAAATTGTTGACGGACGGACGGACGGACGGACGGACGAACGACGGACGACATGGTATGGCAAAAGGTCACCTTGGTCCTTCGGACCAGGTGAGCTAATGAAACCACCTTATTAAATATCTAGCTTACAAATTTAAAACTAAAAAGTATTTGAAACTATATAGCTAGCACCTCTGATTCTAAACAAGGAAAATGAAGAAATTTTAGCACACTGACTCCTTTGGGACCCACCCTCCAGCCCTTGGGGGTAGGGCTGGCTCAAAATTTTCAAAGTATCAAACTGTCAACTCAGGGTTATAATTCCAATCAAGCTATTAACATGTAATATTCAAAGTATCATTTGCCATTATAAACCATAATAAATTG